ACCAGGCCGCCCAGCAGCAGCAGGGCCCAGAGGGCCAGCGGCAGCACCGGCACGTAGTTGGCGGCCAGCTTCCTGCGGCCCGAGGTGCCCCAGCCGCTCTGGTTCATGGTGGCCAGCGCCAGGAACTTGGCGGGCAGCAGGCCGCCCATGTAGAGCGGCGCGTAGAGCGAGAGCAGCAGCATGCGGGCGCAGCCCCGCAGCCAGGCCGCGAAGGCCGCCTTGGCCAGCGCCACGCCCTGCACGCACAGCAGCACCCACAGCAGCGCCCACGGGCGCCCCGCGTAGAACAGCCGCAGCACCGTGGCCGCCACGAAGAAGGGGAAGAGCCCCGAGACCACCGCCTCGTAGGTCATCCACGCGTGGTGCCGGTGCCACCACAGCGCGTTGTACAGCCACTCGCGGAAGTAGGACTTGGACCAGCGCGTCTGCTGGCTCAGCCAGCGCAGGAAGGCCGCCGGCGTCTCCGAGTAGCAGCGCGACCTGGGGGTGTACCTGGGCGGCGAGAGCGGCTGCGTGAGCAGGGCTTCCCGGGGACGGGGCCAGGGCCCCTGGGCGCCTTTTCTAAGCCCCTCTGAGCCTCGGGGTTACCACATTTAAAACGCGTCCGGCCCAGTTGTGAGGATGCAGTGCCCAGTGCTCAGCACCAGGACATGGTGCTTGCTCCACAAAGGTTGGGCACTATGTACGCCTGTTCTCACCATGACTAATAGTACTCTTGCCGTTACTAATACCACCAGGTTACTAACACTCTTACTAATGCTGTCACTCATCTATTACGAGTACTCTCGCACTTACTGTTATTGGCCGGCCCCATGGTGAGGAACAGGCCAGGCCTGGCCCCTACCCAGCCCGGCCTGTGTTAGAGCTTCTCAAGGGAACCATAAACCTCCCTTCCCGCGGCCTGGGCAGGCATCACTAATCAATCCCTGCCCGTTGGTTTCCAGCCACACCCACAGAAAGCTGGACTCCCTTGTCAGGTGGCCACCAGCATTCTGTCTGGCAGGCGGGGCTGAACTACCCTGTCCTCATGGGCATTACTTAACAGTGTCCCATCTCCTTCCCCTGTGTCACTTGGCATCCTCAGTGGCCTCCCTGCTAAACCCCTCCCTCCCCCCAGTCCCTGCAGTCTGTACTGAACACAGCTGCCACAACAAGCTTGTTGCAACAACATGTGACCCCTCAGCTGAAAAAAAACCTTCATTTTAGGTCAAGCGTTCCATGGGTGGACTCCCTGATTGCTCTGCCCTCCTCTCCTGACACTTTCTCACGTGTTATTGCTCCATTTTCAGCTTCCACTCCTATCTTTCCCCTGGCACCCTGTTTAGCATTTCATTCCCTACCCCTAAGCTTCCTATCCCCCTTTCTGGCTTTATTTATCTCCGTAGCATGTATATTATCTACCATACTCTATGTTCTACGCTTTTCGTACTTACAGTCTGTCTCCCCAATCAGCATAAGCATGAATTTCTGTCTCTTCCGTTAACTGCTGCATCCCCTGAGCGCAAAACACTGTGGACACTTAATATCTGTTGAGCCAGTGAACTCGTGGGTTTGGTTGACCCCAAGTTCTTTCTGGTCCTTCCACTAGGTCTAGCTCTGTAGAAATCACTTTGCCCTGAACTTCACCTGCTCTAGCCTGTGCTCCCCCAAGTCTCATGGAATTTCCTCTTTTCCTCCTGAAGCACTTACTGGTTTAGGTGCTCTCTCCTCCTGTCATTTAATTCTGCTCGCTTGCTCTCTCACTATTTAGACTCTATCCTATCCATCTCTTTCCCTTCCCATCTCAGAGTAATTGTGCTGCGACAGTAATCTGTGTTCTCCCTGACAGAGCCACACTACCCATCTCATGTTGTATCTTCTGGGCAGGATTCCCCACCCTCACCTTGCCTCACTTGGCAGAGTCTCATGGTCAATGCAAATGCTACCTCTGCCCCTTACGGTCTCTTCCTCTCTCCTCTAATGTCTCACTTGGAAGAGCCCATTGTCCTGCAAGTTACTTTGGGTTTGGAGAGTTACACACACATACACACACACACACACACACACACACACACACACACACACACACAGGTTGGGATACTCTTTGGCCTCCATGCACACTCAACCACTTGGTCTCCTCAGCTTACTTGGTGGCATAGCCCATGCTGAGCATGCGGTTGGTGAGGTGCCGGTCATCCCCGAAAGTGCAGTGGGTGCCCAGGAACTTCTGATTGTACCAGGCCTCAAGAAACTGCTGCAGGAGGTGGTTCCTGTATAGACCTAGGTGGTGGTGGGGAGGGGGTACCGGAGGGTCAGCCTCTGCTGCCGTCAACACCATCCCCCCTTCTATCTCGAGCCCCAACGCGTCTCTAATTCCAACCCCATCCTTAACCACTTCAATCCCATTCTCAGCCCTATCGCCACCCACATCTCCAGCCCCAATCCTGTTCTCAACCCCATGCCCATCCCGAACTTGCCCCAATCCTGTCCCTGACCCATACCCACCTTGACAGCAAAGCCACCCAGACCCTTCCTCAATCCCATATCTATTCTCAGCCCCACCCCCTACTCACCCTCATGCAAAACCCATTTCTAACCCCAAACATGGCCCCAACCCTGACCTCAACTCCAACCCTTTCACTCCCTTCTCCAACCCTCCCCCCAGCCCAGTGCTCATCCATACCCTTTGTTCAACCCATTCCCAACACTACACACCATCCCCAGCTCCAACTCCCTATCTTATCCCCAATTCCTGCCCAAGCCCCACCTTTGTCCATCATCTCAATCACACCCTCAACCTGTTCTGGCTCCCTTCTCCCTCTCCACCCCATCCATGGCCCTCCCAAGCCCGACCCCTGCTCACCGAGGGGTCCACTGATGCAGGACACGCAGTGGAAGTAGCTCTGACAAGCCCGCTCCACATTGAAGGCCACCCAGTACCGCAGGCTGCTTAAGAAGCTGACCCAGGAATCCAGAGGATTGAGGATCCGCACATCCCCGCCAACAGCCCCTACCCGGGGATCACTGTCCAGCACCTGCACCAACTCCAGCAGTGCCATAGGGTCCAGCCTCGTGTCTGAGTCACAGACCTGTGGGGTAGAAGGGGCCAGGGTCAGGCTAGATCCCCGAATGGAGCTGGTGCTTGAGGGGAGAGCACCAAGAGGATGGGGAGCAGCTGGGATACTCTGCAGCCAATTTGAACATAACCTTGAATTTTTAGAAATTTTCTATATCTAATCATATTTTAAGGTGACCCTTACCCTCCCAAGACCCATGCTGTTGTGTAACACCCTCTCTGGTGTTTGGGCAAGACCTATAACTTTCTTCTAACCCAGAGAATGGGGTAAAAGTGATGGGCTGTGACTCCCGTGATTATAGAACCTTTTATGGAAATGTGAAGGGGTTTTGCAATGTAATTAAGGTCCCTAATCTCTTGACTGTTAATCAAAAGGTAGATTATCCAGCGTGGGCCTCACTCAGCCAGGTGAGCCCTATAAAAGCGGGTGCAGAAGTTTGAGACTTTCTGGTGCTCATCTGGAAGAGGAAAGCTACCATGAGTTTTACGACTGTGGGGGGAAAAAAATTCTGCCAACAAATAGGTGAGCTTGGAAGAGGCCCCTGAGCCTCAGATAAGGCCCACGGTTGCCGCCATATGATTCCCTGAAACAGAGGATCCAGTTCAGCTCTGCCCAGACGCTGACCCACGGGAACCATGAGATAATAAACGTGTTTGGTTTCAAGCTGGAAAATGCTGCCCAAGCAATAGGAAGTGAATGCAGTGCACCGATGAACGATTCCCTACAGCGAGCGAGCGAGTGGAGGGGCTGAACGAGCAGATGGATCTCTCTGTGGAATAGAGAGGGAAATGGGTGGGCAAATGAGCGAGAGAATCTCAACGCCGAATGAAAGGATCTCTACACGGAATGAACTCGGGGACGGGTGGTCTCTGCAGTAGACGGAGAGATGGATGCAGGAGTGAAGGCCTGAAGGGAAGAATTTCTACACTGGATGGAGAAAGGAGGGAGTCTCCGCACTGGATGGATGAATAAAGAAGTAAGAGAGCTCCTGTTGGATGGACGGATGGGTCAGGAAAGGAAAGACTTCCTACGGTGAACGGATGGATGGATGGATGGATGGATGGATGGATGGATGGATGGATGGATGGATGGATGGATG